CTTGAGGTAAATTTGATAATGCTTTACACACACTATGTTACTAATAACACGCCTATCTAGCTTAATTTCAAAATTATACCCATCGATTATTTACTAATAGGTAGAACAAATATTTACTCTAATCTTTATGATTTAGCGTTTTTAGCCTAGAAATAGCACTTTTAGCGTATATACCGTGGTGTTACGCATATATGGGTGTCACATCTGTGTCTTTAGAAATCCATAGTTTTTTTGCCTTCATAGAGTAAATAAAGAAAGACGTATATGTGTATTTACGTCTGAAATCTCGTTTTTTTTAGGGTAATGCAATACGCTATATAGCCATAAATTGTCCTCTTTGTTTGTATATGAAAACAATTCGAAAATACTGGTTTCCAAGTACTTATTAACATAGTGCATTTTTGGAATACACGTTAATGCATTATTAACGTCGAGAAGGTAATGAAAGACCGATGGTTTTGACAAGATATATAAAAACGGTGATACACTTGGATTGGTATATAGTCACTCTATGAGTGTACCCTAAATGAGTATTGTCATGAGGTATTACTCATATCTTGCCGTTTAATAACCCATATGTTTTATACTACCTCCGTCCCGCTAAGTTTGGGACAAGAGGTGGTGGCACGGTTATGTGGTTGATATTGAATTGATAAAGTAAAAATAAAGTAGAAATGATTTAGAACCACACAAACTTTACCAAATAAGGTATGAGACAATCTTAGTGGGACAGACCGAAATGGTAAAATGAGACAATCATAGCGGGACAGAGGGAGTACATAGTATTGTTCAATGGTGTATCTGTGATTAAAAGACGGGCGAATAGGCTAATACTATTGATTTATAGTGATGTGTGGACCTTTGCACATAAACACTATAACCTAACATATTAACAACGTTATACTATCCTCCGTCTCTTTTTAATCGCAACATGTTGAATTTTACACTATTCACATGTTCTACTTTGACTACATTTTATATTATTATTTTATGAAAATTATTTTTTTAAAATTATATTGTTGAATTCATCTTATTACAAATTTTCAAAATCTAACTTTTAAATATTTTTTACTAATGAGGATTAAGATATAATTACGGTCAAAGATGTGCGTTGGCAAATGTGAAATGTTGACCGTTGCAACTAAAAAAGAACGGAGGAAGTAATTATTAGCACTCTATACGTGACGGCAGGGGCGGAGCTAAGGGGTGCCCAGGCTAGGCCTTGGCCCACCCCAAATTTGAAAAATGTCAATATTTTTAGTGTAAAAAATTTCGTGTAAATTTTTTTCCAATAATATTCTTTGTACCGGCCCAGTCTAGCCCAGTGTCCTGGCTACGCCCCTGCGTGACGGAGGATACACCTAGTCCGCTAAATATAAGATATGAAGATAAACCTAAAGATATTATCTGAAAGGTTATTGCCTATATCCGTGGTGTTATATACCTATAGTTAGCGATAATTATTGTTTGTTTGGGAACCTATACATGACTTTAATAAATGAAAGCGGTAATGGGTTTTGCGTTTATATCTTCACATAAATGTGAGCTCAAAAATAGATATTATGTCATTAAAAGGGTCTACTTAACCTATGTCAGTGTTTAGGCACAATTATTTGACTTATTAAGTCTAAATCTTCTCCATTCAATGCTTATCAATATTGACCTACTCTGTGTTCTTACGTTTAAAACGACGTAAGATTATGATATCACACCGAAATATTAATTGTCGAGTATTAGGGCCGTCTTAGGAAATTTGGTACCCGAGATGAAAAAACTAAAACTAAATATATAGAGTAATTAAATTTAATAAGAGAATTAAAAGAAAAAAATGTAATAAGACACCCAAATTCAAAGACAATCATTAAAATAACGTGGAGTAATATGGAAACATGTTTATGAGCCCGTTTGGTAGCACCAAAATTGGCTGTTTTGGCTGATTCTGCTGAAATTTATGATATTTTGGCTGAAGTGGCTGTTTTTGCTGATTCTGCTAATTTAAGAAAAAAATATTTTAAAAATATATTTTATTAATAAAATAAAGAAAAAATTATATGTAAAAATAGCTAAATTGGTCATCTACAGTAACTTCAGCCAATACAGCCAGAAAAGTAACTCCAACCTTACTTTTTCGGCTTATTACACAATTCAGCGCGCGAAAGTAAAAGTTACGTGTTTGGTGAAAAAGCTGGCTGATAAGCCGAAAACAGAGGTCTCCAAACGGGCTCTATGTTTGTTTATTAAGGATGTTTTTTTTACTTGAACTGTTTGCAGTCCCAGACCAGACCAGACCAGTTTAGACAAGATCAGACCAGACTTGGACAGTTATAAAAATACAAAGATATCAGAAATTATCAGACCAGACCAGACTAGTTCAGACCAGGTCAGATTAGACCAGCAAATTACGGTCCAAGTAAAAACATCCTAAGTTTTTCTCTTTGAAGCACCTAAATCTTGTATTATTTGGTCCATTTGTTTATTAACTTTTCATAGTGAAAACTTCAAAAATAACAATATGACATGAACTTAGTCAAATTACAATTAATTATACTAAAACTTAAAGCTATTGAATGGGGATAAGGGTCAGTTTGGTACTCGAAGTTGCAAAAAAGGGGTCAAATAAGTCCATATATAGAAGATTTTGTCCGTACGGGTCATTTGAGGCGGCTCCCGGTACGGTGGAATTTTTTGATGAAATTTTTTGAGCATCTTATTCATTAAGTTTAGTTCACTCATACCAAATTTCAGATAAAAATTCAATCGGGAAGACATTCAAATGAATTCTTGAAGATAACTGTGTCGTTAAAAGCGCAGTTATCTTCAAGAATTTATTTGAATGTCTTCACGATTGAATGTTTAGCTGAAATTTGGTATGAGTGAACTAGACTTAATGAATAAGATGCTCAAAAAAATTTAATAAAAAATTCCACCGGAAGCCACCTCAAATGGCATGCCCGGACAGAATCTTCTATATAAGGACTTATTTGACCCCTTTTTTGCAACTTCAAATACCAAACTGAACCTTTACTCCTATTGAATGTGTTCTAATTTGCAATGAATAATATTAACATAATGTATAAGAGACACGTTCAGATATATATGTTATGACACAAGTAGAAAATACAATATTTCGAAAATATTCAGGCAGATTTCATAAACGCATATCTCGTTCTAATAGTGCAGTAAAAACAAGATCTTATCGAGTTCTAAAACTTATGTTACTGTGTGTTCTTCTAAAATATATTCTATGATAATAGGTGATAATTTCAAAATTTTAACAGAATAGCATTTCATGATATAAACGTATTATATCTCTTCAATTAACCATCAATCATATTTAACTTATGTATAAATAGTATTGGGCTAATATGAGTTTGTGGATATTACCTGAGCTCGAAATACAGCTCATACTTAAAAGATTAAATGTATTTCGAAAACGTCTTTAATGAATGGGATATTTTGACTTGGCACCCCATTTTTTGGGTGATATTGGAGTTTGCACCTCATTTTCAAAACTTTTAGACTTTGCACCCTATTTTCCCTAAAATGTCTTTGCCTTTGCACCTCATTTAAGAATTTTTCTTCACAAAATGTTGTAGATAGAGTGCAAAATCTAAAAGTTTTGAAAATGAGGTGCAAGGTCCAATATCACCCAAAAAGTGGGGTGCAAACTCAAAATTCCCCTTAATGAATTTAGGCCACTAAGCTTGTAAAAAGTTAATCATAGATATGGAAGATGTCTTTCCAAAATGATATAAAAGGTAATGATTAACCATAAATTCACAAATATTTCAGACAAAACTGAGTCTTTTACTTAATGCATTGTAATTGAAGTTGGAACAAAAGCTTTAGAACTCAAAATTGTCTTTCCAAAGAGATCTGACCCGAAACCGCCGTTCTGTAGGGATACAATTATATACCGTGAATTCTATATATAAGACGGTTTATTTGTGCTGGAGTTTCGAAATATATATTTCAGACAATGACATATAAGTAGTATGAAAACGGAAGAACACAAAACGTATCACATGAGTGATCGAGTATACGTTTAATTCATGTGCGCACTTTTAATAGTTGATCAGTTGTACCCGATGGATATCTTTGGATAAAATATCTTGTCGTTGATATCCTCAACTTTTATCCTCTCTTTCGAGATCCTGTGATATCTTTAATACGGCATTAAGTAACCGGCTATTTTATGATATGAAGTATTAGTGCTCAAATCTGGTATAATTCATCCGTTTTCTATCTAGATCCCTTAACATATGTGAACACGCATATGATCATTCCAAAGACAGGATAAATCAGGCGCCGGTTAAACGAGATATTTGTTTATACTATAATTGAGTAGCCTAATCGAGTTTACATCATAAATTCGATTGTCACGTGATCTCCGTGGGTGAAATAAGTATTTTTTCGAGAATACTTATTTCATTGTATGGCTCAGAGCATAATATTTTGTGATTACAAGGTGTGGTTTCTCAATCGTAATGTTTCCTTTTATAATCTTAAATGGAAGATAACACGTATTTAGATATTTCCAAAGAGACAGACAAAAGGTTCATTACAAATTTACAATATGAATTTAAGAAAAGATCTTAAAGTTTTAAGTGTTTTAAAGCAACGTATTATTATTGTCTTTTTATCCTCATAGTAGTCAAATCCCAAAACTCGTATACAATTTACCTGATAGTTCGAAAATTAATACTACGTATGATATGGAGCCATCATATGTTGGGCGGGTGCCTATTTTTCAGAGATCACAATCATTGTATAACAAAATCGGAGTCTACTTATTTCACAAACACTTTTAATATTCATTTTCCAACACCACGGTTAGGCACTATTGCTCAATTATGTTACTATAATGAGGCCGGCTAAACTTAATCCCTTGATTGCTCTGTTTTGTCACGTTGCCTATTTGAAGGTAAATATCTTGCTGGAGATATTATTATAAGAGGGAACTCAAAACTAAATGATATTATTGCCTTACCCGAACTCTCCAAATAATTGCTGTGTAAACGGCCACACAGAGCTCCCTCTTATAATAATATCTCCAGCAAGATATTTACCTTCAAATAGGCAAATTCTCTTTGTGATTTTAGAGTTGGAAAGATCTTAAGCCGGGGCAAAATATCTCTTTGGAAATCCATGGGGATATGCATTAAGTAAAAGGTACAGATTAAATGGAAGAACAAGGTACAATTCAGGTGAATTTGATCCGCAATAGAACGATGTATGCCGATTTTAACGGGTCACCAATCCGAATAGGCACTCTTCCGCCAGTGTAAGTTAAAAGCTTGCCGATTTTCCTATATTATAAATAGAAAAGCATTAATAAATTTGCACTGGTTAAACCTTATATACTACTGGATTAGTTAATATCAAACTTTATGTATAATACGTGTATTTCATAGTGCTCTAAAGAGATTGATGTCTCCAAAAGAGTTTAATTCCGGCTCCCATGAGTCCAAATATGATATTGGTGTTAATAACATTAGATAGAGGAAGAAATAGATGATATAAATTTTATTGGTGGAGGAGTTACGTTTATGTAAACAAGATAACAATATCAATCACAGATCTTTTTTGAAAACAAAAGAGAAAAATAGTTGAAAGCATTGCCCTCACTCCATCGAAAAGGAGGTCTTACCCAAGTCTCAGTTTTAGAGAATCCACATTGATTCTGAATTATTTTATGATCATCAACAAGAATGACGGCAATCTTTAATTTGAGAAGCCAATGTTTGTATACAATGCAGACTGTTTTAACAATTAACAATTTGAAAGTTGTGATTTATATTTCACATAATGAATAATATGAAAGGCATGATCCTTATTAAGAATATACTACCTCCGTCCCAGGGAGAAGTTCCCAATTTCCTTTTTTGGCAGTCCCAACAAAAAGTTCTCATTTCCTTAAATGGAAAGTTATCCTACATAAAAACAGTGCCAAACAGTGCAAAACAGTACCAAACAGTGTCGAAACAGTGCCAAACAGTAAAATTTACCCTTCAGTAACTTTATTTCCTTAATATATGTGAAAGTCAACCCGGGAACTTCTCCCTGGGACGGAGGGAGTATAATTCATCTCGACTCAAGCTTATTCAGAGTGAATATGACGATTGGACAATCAATACATCCTTAAAATTGTTTACTAAATATATAGCCTATAATAATATGTCATAATTGTCATATATACATCTATCAAAGTGGTTTCTATGGATGGAGTGTTAAATAAATATTTATATATTGATAATTTCAATATTAGTAAATTCATCCCGTGCAACGCACGGGTGAAATCTAGTCACAATATAAAGTATATAAATTGGACAATGCCCCTCAAACAGTAAATTGAATATTATAAATAAGTGTGATATTAAAACGATCAAGCTTTTGTTCAAGATTACTCCATAACTGAAAATACAATTATAATGTTCAGATATAGAACCCTTTTATTTTGTTCTTTAACATTGTAATACCCTTGTTCAACAAGTTTAGATATTAGCTCTAAACAATGTTATCCCGTTGTGAAATTGGTCTTTACGAAACAAGCTTTTCAATAAGTTTAGAATAGCTCAGTTTGGAACATCACACAAAATTTTCAATTTGCACCGTATAAAAATTATCCCAGACAAGTCCATATAATCGTCCAATAGGGCTAACATTGACGTTCAAATTCTAAACGAGTTCGGAGTGAAATCTGAATAGATTGTATTATTGAGATGCTCTATTTGGGTGATTTACCAAAAAGGGGGGAAAGGGGGTTGGGGTTGCCAAAAAACGGGGATTTATTTAGGGTTTACCAAAAAGGGGGAGTCGGAACTGGGTGTTCCGACTAGGTTTTAGGATTAAAAAAATTCTTCCCCCCCCCCCCCCTAGTCGGATTAGGGAGTTCCGACTAGGTTTAATTTTTTTTTTTCGAAATTTGTTTTTGAATTTGAGTTTGTAAAAAATTAAAATGTTAGGGCTAAATTATATCAATTCCAAATTTAAAATTTCTTTTAGATTCATGACATATTTTTTAACATGAAAACTTAGCATTATGATTTTTTTACTAAGAAAACAATTGATTGCTTTAAATTGTTTTTTAATCCATTTGTATTGTGAATTTAGTTTTAATTGCAATTTTTGTAATTTTAAGTGCAATTTTGATTTACTTCATTCGTCTAATTAGATAAAAATTTGATTTTGTTTTAAGTGAATTTTTTTTGTAATTTTAATGGAAGTGAACAAAACAAATGTAGTTTTCAATGTAATTTATTAATGAATAGATAGTACATACAATATTAAATTTAATACTACATCTAATTTAGCGTGCTCGGCCCTGCTCCGTCCCCACCGCCCGTGTTCCAAGGCCTCGTTGTGTCTCCATAGTAAAAAGGCGAATTCAGAAATGACTCAACATAATCATCCGGTTGTGTGGACCACTGATAAGAATCATAATACGGCGGTGGTTGATCAAATGAGCCACCTTGATGCGTTGAGAATTGAGGGGGTGGTTGATCAAATGAGACACCCTGTGTTGAGAATTGAGGGGGCGCTTGTGAGTCCTCACCCCCATCTTCACGTTCATCTGAATCATCCTCTTCGTCACTTCCACCTGCATCTTCATCTTGATAGTGGAATATGCCCCGGTGGAGCATATCTTCATCACCTACATCCAGGGCCATCTGCCGTAGTCGTTTTTGACAATCCTCATAACTCGCGTGGTCGGCTAAGAGCTGATACACCTCGTGAACGCCTTGCTTCTACATAAAAATGTAACACGTGTAAATAATATGACACGATATATGGTAGCGAATATGGTATGTATTCAAAAACTTACCACAATACCCCAATCGTGTGCTGTCGGGGTGTAGCCTGTCGTGGGCACATTGTGAGAAGGGTTCTGGACACGTGTCATACCATGCTTCTTGTACCAGTTTCGGTACCTTTTAGTTGCTTCGAGGGACATATATCGATCATAATCAAGAACGTATATATTATGTTGTATGTCCGCCCACATCGCCAAGGCACCGATTACTATGTTGGAACGAGATCCGTGATGATCAGTACCCGGCAAAGGAGCATTCGGAATGTCTTGCCTTATACCGAACTGCCGAAGAAATCGATCCGGGTAATGCATTTCGGCCATATTGCAAAATATGAGCATGACTCTAGCCGACCAAAGCGGAGCATCATTAAGGATGAGAGGCGGGAGCATCTCGGACGCGTAGGGAGTGAAATCAAACTGTAAAAAGTTTAATTTGCAATTTAAAAACTAGAAAAAATAATGTATTTTAAGCCTGAATAGTACAGTTGAAGTAAAAATTTCATGTACTACCTGACTCTCAGTCATGCGGTCTAGGTCATCCCGGTACAAGCGTATGCAATGTCTTGGGGATCCCTTATACGACTTGGGGACGATCCACCTACATTTATTGATTACCGATATGAAGTTAAAAAATGTAACGTCATGTAAAGCATTCTCAATTATTAAGATGTAATTGACAACATACTTGCACCCATATGGAAGATGGCCATGTTGAATGACCTGAAGTGCTGAGGGACGGACCATCGAAATCCTCGACCAAGCCCAAATCTGTAACAAGTGCATACAACCGCCAACTTGTTTGGTTTCCCACATTGTGCCGTTGCACAAGTTATGGTATAGGTACCCGAGAACCGCTGATCCCCAACTCCAGCGACGGGCTAAAGCCAAGTCACCCTGCAAGACCTCCAAAAAGTACAATCGTATTCTTGCCCCACTCGTGTCAGGGAACAAAAACCCTCCAAGCAATTGTCATATTAGAGTCCTGGTGTGTTGGGTCACCTCTTCGTCTGTACTGTCATCTAGGATCCGGTGACAGGTAACGACACTCATAGTGATATCACTCGTGCGCATATCAGTCTGTAGAGGAGTGAAACCACACGATTGAGTGCACAGGTCGATCCACTGATCCTTACCCCTAATGGTTGGACCACTGAGGGGCATACCCTGAATGGGCAAACCAAGGATTACCGCCACATCTTGTAGACTAATGCCGACCTCACCGAATGGAAGATGGAAAGTATGTGTCTCCGGCCTCCATCTCTCCACCAACGCGCATATTAAACTATGATCCACCTTCATACGGGCAATGTGCTCTACCCCCAAGAACCCAGCATATGCTAACATATTTATCACCCTTTCATCTCGCGCTTCACATCCGAATGCAGCTGAAGGGCAACTGACGCATTTCAAGCACGAGTGTTTGGAATCTGGTTCATACCATACACGGTCTGCACGATGGGCACGAAGTGGTTCATACCATACACGGTCTTTGGAATCTTTGGAATCGGCTCTAATTTTTAAAATTAGAGCCGATTTATTAAACGAAGGAATACAATTTTTTTTTTTAAAATAATACCCTAGTCGGATTCCCGAATTCCGACTAGGCACTTGATTTTTTTTTTTTAAATTAGAGTACCATTTATAAATTAGTCGATTTAGGATTGCAATTTTTTTTTAAATGAAATACCCTAGTCGGAATTGGGGAATCCGACTAGGTAGTTAGATTTTTTTTTTTTAAAATTAAACTCGATTTATTAAAAGAACGAATACAATTTTTTTAAAAAAAAAAAAATACCCTAGTCGGATTCCCCAATTCCGACTAGGTAGTTGATTTTTTTTATTAGAGTACCATTTACAAATTAGACTCGATTTAGGATTGCAATTTTTTTTAAAAATAAAATACCCTAGTCGGAATTGGGGAATCCGACTAGGCAGTTAGATTTTTTTTAAAATTAGACTCGATTTATAAAAGAACGAATACAATTTTTTTTAAAAAAAAAATACCCTAGTCGGATTCCCCAATTCCGACTAGGTAGTGGGATTGTTTTTTTAAATTACTCTAGTCGGATTCTCCAATTCTGACTAGGTACTTATGGATTTTTTCACAACCCTAGTCTCCAGTCGGAATTGGGGAATCCGACTCCCGTTTTTTGGTAACCTAAATGTCAGTCCCGTTTTTTGGCATGTCAGACTCCAAACTCCCGTTTTTTTGGTAATTCCTTCCTCAAAGTCTCAATGATTATTCACAACTACGACTAGTTTAATTTACCGCCATTCACCGATTCACGTGGAGGACAGACCCAGCCGTGGTACATTTTTGGTCAAGGAATAGTTTTTGGCAATTCTACACATGCATCAATAATAACTATACGATTTCATATTTATATTTATATATATATATATATATATATATATATATATATATAATATAAAGTAACAAAGTTTGAGCAAGAATTGGAGGGAAAACTCCCGCCCAAAATAAGGGCAAAATAGGCAATTACTGAAAAAAAACAAATTTGGTAATTAATTATATTAGGTAAGAAATTTTAGTAATGACCTAAGTAACGTATCATTCATGCTTTATAAATGATTTGAATTGGTTTCTTTTTATTAAATCTAGACTAGATATTATAATGCCACGCATTGCTTTAGTTCATTAATTTGTATACCCAATAACTTTTATTTTAAATAAATATGGGCATCTATATAATACTCCCTCCGTCCCTAAATAAACTTCCAACTTTCCTTTTTCGTCTGTCTCAATTAAAACTTCCACTTTCCTCTTTTGGCCGGAATTTGTGGTTCACAACAATTCTTACACATTTCTCTCTCCTCTGCACAACTCTCCACCACACAATATCCACTATCTTAAACTCCGTGCCAAACCCATTTGGAAGATATAATAGGGACGGAGGGAGTAATAATAATATAATAATTATATAATATTATGTCATAAAATTCTTAATTTGGTAATATCTCCCATCCCGGCCACCAATATGACAAGAGGGTACGACACTTAAGAAAATGAGTTTATGTGGCTGATATAGAATTGATAAAGTAAATAATACTATACTATGTATGATTTAGAGTCACACAAACTTTATCAAATCTTTATATCTTTATCTTTATATTATGGATGTTTTCTTTTGGACTGAAATTTGCTGGTCTGGTCTAGTCTGGTCTGTTTAAGTCTGGTCTGGTCTGGTCTGGTCTGTTTAAGTCTGGTCTGGTCTGGTCTGGTCTGAACTGGTCTGGTCTGGTCTGGTAAACGTCTGGTCTCTGTGTATTTTATAACTACGGAAGTCTGGTCTGGTCTGGTCTGGTCTGTTTAAGTCTGGTCTGGTCTGGTCTGGTCTGTTTAAGTCTGGTCTGGTCTGGTCTGGTCTGTTTAAGTCTGGTCTGGTCTGGTCTGGGACTGAAAACAGTCCAAAAGAAAACATCCATATAAAGTAGCAAAGTCTGCTACAACTATTGGAGGGAAAATTCCCGCCCAAATTAAGGGTATTAAGGGTATTAGATGGGGAATTATTGTAGACCATAAACATGATAACCGCCCATGAGAAGAAATAAAAGAGTATACACGGTTGAAGTTTATATGCAAAGAAATGAGGTTGCCAAGCATTTAAGAGTATATATATGGTAGTATGCATGTATGAATATATGCCAAGTATATACGGTAGTATGCAGGTATGAATATATGCTAAGATGAAGCATTTAGGATGTTTTCGTTGGGACTGTTTTCAATTTCAAAGCAGACCAGATCAGATCAACCAAATAAAAGAAATAATTATTGCCGAAATTAATTATTGCATTAATATGACAATTAGCAAATTTCTCATGAAAAACTTTGTACCAGGTGTTTCATACACAATCACGACAACACACCTTTTAGTATCACTTCCAGTCAAGTTTAGGAGCCACTAATGCACATACGAATGAACACACATAGTGGATTGATATGATAATTTTAGTTTGTACTAACTTACTTTTAATTATTTATGGTATAGATGGTAGTAGATAAGGTTGACAAGTCCAGGAGTCTTTTTCCGTCTTCGATTTTAATCGAAGGACGGCCGCTTTTTCCGTCTTCGATTTTAATCGAAGGACGGCCGCTATTTCCGTCTTCGATTTTAATCGAAGGACGGCTGTTGTTGTTTGTGCTTCGTCCTCGAAGGGCGGATTTGCTGTCATGGCTCGAGGAGATCGGCGTTGTGGTCAAGGTTCGAGGATGATGCGTTGCTGTCGTCGTTGGAGAAGATCGGCGCCGCCTATCCGTTTACTCTGGTTGCATGGGGCAGGGATTAGTTTGGTTATGCAGGGACAGAGGATTGATGCATGGCATTTGGCAGCCAAAGGTCACGGAGTATCAATTAGCATGGTACCGGTGGTAAGACCTCCTGAACCACCACCATGGGATGTACGAGGTGCTAGAGTTCGTGAACGCTTTTCTTGTAATTTTTATCTGTTTGTTATTTGTTTTCTTGTGTCCACTTTTGTTGTTGGTTTTGACAGTTTTGTTTGAGTTTTTTGCCTCTCTTTATGTCATTGAGTATGGTTGGATCTATGGGAATAGGTTTGGCTGTGTCAAGCCCAATACATGGTTAGCCATTCGTGTTGCTCTCTCAGGGTGACCGTCTCAAAGTCTTACCATAGGGTTACAGTCGTAGTTGTTGAAGTTTCAGTTGGTGTCAGTTTTATTTTCCTTTTGCTTGATGTAATGATCCTGAATCTTTTGATATGAATAAAGGCCCGTTTGATGATAAAAAAAAAGTCCAATGAATTATAGTTTTTCTTTTCTTTTTATTTTGAAAGGGAATTATGGTTTTTCTATGAATAGATATTTGAAAATCACTCTACATAATTGCACTATTACTATTTGGAGGAGCCTCATTTTCCCGCTCAGACTTCATTCTCAATCGGTTTCTAATTGTCGAGGCCTCATCTCTCTCCCCAAACAAACCGATCGGCAGTTGATGCCGAAATTGTAGAGTAATCCTGCTAGAGGTTCTTGAATACTGTTAGAGGCTCTGTGTTCCCTGAGATAAGCCTGGATGATCTCGGCAGGAATTGTTTTGCCGAAAGGAGGAGGAGATATATAGCATCAGTTCGATTTCAGATAAGCGACTCCGAGGTGAGGTCGTATGAAACAATTGCGCACTGAAAATTTCTTTAAATATGATACTATCCATTTCTCAGTACATATTTGGTCATAGATAAATATCATTAATTATTTAATTTAACCAACAAGGTCATTGGATAGAAGAATATGATCATAGTCACATGTACGGAAAAATCCAATGTCTTAGTGTTATATGGGTAGATTAGTCAGGTTTTTGTCTTCTTCATAGAGTTTGAATTTCACTCTATGCTTAAAAGTAGGTACATCATGTATCACAAGAAATCTAAAACCAGAGCATTTCTAGCCAAAAGAGCCGGAGCATAGATCATTTTGATGAAATTAAGCCAAAGGGGAATTGACTTATATTGGAGATCCAATTAATTAAACTAAACCTATCGGAACTAAATATATATCTCATATTTATGTACTTTTAAGTCTGATTCAGCAACTTAATGTTTAAATCTATGCATGGATCAACTTGGTTATTTGTCATGTTTAATGTCAATATAAATATGTTGAAATGGAGTTTAAAAAGCTAGGTTTAAACCTATGCCTGGATCAGCTTAGTTAATCAACAGATTAAAAAACAGGGGTTTCCTAGCATATTGTAAATACTTTGTTTATTCTTATTCATCATCCTATTTGAAAAGGCTAGGTTTAAACCTAGCCTGGATCAGCTTGGTTAATTGTCATGTATAATGTGAATATAAGTCTCATTCAGTACTTAATATGTTAAACCACAGCTTATTTTGATTCCTATTCAGTATGCATAGGTGCCAAGATGATCAGGTAGTTAATTCTCCCTACTTTTTTTTTGATAAATTGTTTAGAGAAATTTAGGAAGCACCCAAATGAATGTTACATACTACGGAGTATCTACTACGGAGTACTTATTTAAATTAATTCTCCCTACTTTGTTTATTCATAATCATCGTTCTAAGTATAGGACCCAGCTTACCTTCGTAATTGGCATATCATCTATAAGGTTGTCAGGTGTATGGATCCTCATTACTCCTATAGCGCGCATTTCTCATTGAGATTTGCAAATCTCAATAAAATGCAGTTTTGGTATTATGGAAAAACTCCACTTTTAATCAAAAGTGGAGTTTTTTTTTCTCTTAATAAACATGGTAAACATTGTGAATTGGACTTTTGTTTGGGGTTAAAATCAAATGCAAAACCACTTCTCTATTCGTGAATAAACTCAGAGACTGATGCAACTTATGCAAGTCATAGTACTTATAAATTGCTGGGTTACACCTCCAAACACCTTTCGAGGATGAAAAAAGTCCAATGTAAGGTATAAAATCCATTTCAGTTTGGTTCAAGGAGTAAAACTATGGATCTGTACAATTTGTTTTAATTGAAAATCAGTAGCCTTATCATCCAAATTCAAACACCTAAAAACATAATCATGAACATGTATTACTTCAACATGTGGCTCTCATGCATGTAAACATGCAATTTTTTTTCCTTTTGGGTCTATGATTTGGAAACACTAAGATTATAAGTAGTGAAAAGTGCAATTTTCACTACTTAAACCTGTGCCTGTATTTCTGCTCTTTGTCAGAGGGTTTGCAATGATGCTTGCTTGATTTTTAACAATCTTTTTAAGCTAAAATTTGTTGTTTTAAGCCTTTTCAACTCCATAATGACAAACCGGGGGTTCTTCTAACATATTTTAGCATTAAGTTTGTTTAATCTGGATCAGATTGGTTTTGACTTTTGAACAATTGTTTAAAGACTAACTGTGGTGGTTTGGTTTTTGAATTGAAACTCAAATGTAAAAGGAATTCCGTTTGGGTTTAAAATCAAATACAAATTTGGATTTTTAAAATAAAAAGTGAAAGCATCAGACTTAGAAGTACATAAATATGACTGAGCATGTTAAAACTTTTAACATACCCACTTAAAATTTTATGGACATAATCTCACTAATATGCCACATGTATTTAGCACACAAGAACTATATAGAATAAGTGAGTAAAATATTCACAGATATCAATGATATTTTATAAGGTTCTGGTTTGATGAGTGTATTCTTTTAAATATGTTTCTTAATTTCTTTTTCAGTTTAAAAAAAAAAGTATTTATTGCTTTTAAATATGTTCACTTTTATATTAAGATTGGCTTCATTTAGTGTCTGTTCTCATTTATGCAGTATATGTTCTTCATCATTGCAAGTACACGCTTTGATTTTGGGTTATTATATTATACGGAGTATATGAAAGCAGATTAGTAAGTGCTGAATTCCAGCATTTTAAAAAGTTGGTCTAATAGAGTGTGGGATTTAAGGTATAATTGTAACTCTGAGTTGTTAAGAAACTTAGTCTTTAATTGGTTCCTGAAATTTTGTGTTCTTTAAGTTAAGAGTTTATCAGAACTTTAGTCTTTATTTGGTTTATTTCATAATTAGTGCAGCCAATAGAAGAAATATAAGTCACTTGCATCTTTTCACTCTTTTTACTAATTATTAATAATATTTTTGCAGCACAAAAACAATCAAGAATCAACTAAACGAACCAGTACAAAGTCAATTAGTGCAGCCAATAGAAGAAATATACATCACCTGCATCTTTTCACTCTTTTTACTAACTATTAATAACCTTTTTGCTGCACTAAAACAATCAAGAATCAACTAAAAGTACATGAATCTTTACCTCATAAGTGTAATCTAATTTATATCCTCTTAATTGCCTTTAGAGGGTCAAGGATCTTTTAGTAATAGATGGTGGCTATTGGCATGAATTGACTTCATTAATTTCAATCAGAAATGTTACGCTCTAAAGAGTCCAGGTCATTCCAAGAGAAGGTATTCTTAAATTGGTGTCTATGGATGTTCTTTTTCGGTTGATAAGTTTATTATTATTATTATTAATGGAGCCAGGCTGTTTTATTTGCCAAATTCTGAGCTGTAAAGGATTTTCTTAATGCAGCCAGCCTTGAGAATAACCCCAATAGGCAATACTCTTTTCAAATAGTTGGTATTCTGAATAGCAGAAGTTATATCCAACATTCAACCTCTTTTACAATGAAGAAGAGGTTGTACATTATCAAGGTAACTTTTCCTTTTTCTCTTGATCTTATCAACATTACATATCACGTGTACTAAAAATTGTATTTTTCACTACTTATAATCTAAGTGTTCTCAAATCATAGCCCAAATAAAAAATGTTTGAGGTGATCTTCTTTTGAGGGTTGCTTGATGAAACAACTTGAGACATAGGTTGGATGCCATAGCTATATGTGGGTCAATCAGTGCCAATTTCAGTCAAATTACATTAGTTAAAAGGATAAAATAGGAACTATAAAAGTTAAAAGAAATGAGTTATTATGAGTTATATTTTGAGTGACACATAAAAAGTGTTGGTTAAAATGTAAAAATAAATGTCTGCTTAAGATATGTTTTTGGTGTACCACTGTATTCAAATATACACTCAACATTCTTTGAAAGAATATCTCATCATTAAAAAAGGAAGAAGAGTCATAATTTTTTTTAGAAGAGTCATATATATAGGTGTGTGAGACTATATATGTCTAAGATAATAGGCTAAAAATTCTAAGATAATAGTTTATTAGGCTCCTTTATTAATGCTACGTTCTGCAAAGTCCTCTTTCATTTTCTGAAGGGATACTATTCTCTACATCTTCTTCATAAGCTCAAGTACTTATTCTGTTTTCATTTCTATCAATTCCAAAGGGGTGCAACTCTCTATAGCAGGATCTATCTTGGGATCACCTTTAGCAGATCTAGCTGAAAGAATCAAATCCCTTCCTTCTAAACCTCTCACCTGTGCTTCAAGCTGTCAAAGGGCATATCATTAAATATTAATAAGATTTTAGTAAAGTCTATTTGGATATATATGAAATATAGCAATTGGAGACTTAATTGCTGGGGGGGGGGGGGGGGGGTTCACCTCGTGGGCATTTTTGTTAGTTTACTCTTAATTTTTTGAATAAGCATTTTGCTCCATCATATACAAATATAAACTTTTCAACAATTCAGAAAATTTCTCAAGTTTTCTTCATGTATTCCAATTCTTTTTACTGCTTTAAAGGCAGTATCGGGAAATGTATCCACTATGGGAGCTTATGCATAGAAGAGGTATTTCCCAGTACGGCAGTTTATGATTTTGTTAAAAAAATGCATGTGATATAGGATATGGCATTGTACAAATTCAATCTCTGGATTTGTATCTTTATTTTTCATATTTATAGTATTACCTGATTTACTTACACATGGATGGTCTAATCCAATATGCTTTTCTTTTTACATAAGCAGCAAGAGGTTGGGGAGAAAAGAAACTATTGATTATGACTTAGATATCATCCGGAGTTTTGATTACCATGATCTTCTCAGGGTTAAGGATCATTTAATAATAAAGATGGTGGTGCTGGCATAAACTGAATTGTATCTCTTTTAAAAGTTAATGAATTTTATGCCCAAGAAGATGATGTGTGATATGGTCCTGTAGAAGGTTTGTCAAGGTACATCTCATTCCTTAAAGGAGCATTTCATTCCAGGAGAAGGATTGTTGAGGTACATCTAATCCCTTAAAGGATGATTCATTTTAGTTGTCTTTTTGCGGTTTTCAGTGCTTCACAGAAGATGCAATAGGCTCTACTCTTGTGCAGAATATCAAGTAAGTATTTGAACAACTTGAGCTTTACCATTTATCTTCTAAGGAAGCTTTATTTTTAATTCTGTTATGGCTTAAGTTATGGTTTAGAATACTATGTGTGCTTATGTCAGTTTGACTTCTACTCCAGTTTAGTGCAAGCATTTTAAATTTGTGTCGGATATTTTTGCAGATGGCTGGAACTCTATTTGGATGAGTGAAAATCTGTAAAGGGCCAATAAGGGTACATGAGTGATGATAAGTCACATATAGCTAGAACTTATGAACTTTTGAATTATGATCTTTCTTTCTTTTCTGTTCATTTAAGCAAATTAAAATGCTTCATTCCATTGTTCATGATTTAGCGGAGGTGTGAATATGCGCCTAACTTTTTATGACATACGAGCTCCTGGTGGTTCATTCATCTGACCGTAAATTAGGACCACTTTTGATTCTGCAATATTTTGGTCATTAATTACATCGAATTCTGTCATTTCCAAGTAAAGATCATTTCCTTCACGAGTATGTTCACCCACTCCGCCAAATACAGATACTCCTCCGTGTCCTTTGGCCCCTAAAAAAAGAGGGGAATGCGCATTTGCTTTTAAAAGTCCCTCAATAACTATTTTACGTCTTTGAGTTCGCATGAACTATTTTCAATAAAGTTTTAATCATCTATGGTGTCATTAATAGTTGGGTTAGACTTATGTCTTAGATATTATTTTTATGGGGTTTTCATATTTTTTTTAAAAAAACTATTGCTTTAATTAAGAAAAAGCTGAAGGCTGGGCTCAGCTTGAGTTCACTCCTGATTGAGATTATTTTTATTTACTTCTTAAAACTCCTTCTACTCCTTCAAAGAGCAGAGGCAGATATCGTAGTGTTTTGGATGATACTACAGAAGTGCTTTTGGGTGCAGTAAATTACTTATAGACACAAGTTTTTGAAATCAACTTATGAAAAATTGTTTCTGATTCTGTTTTTTTAAGAAACAGAAGCAGAATCAAAATCCAAACACGAAACACCCCCTATATATGATCATCATAGATACCATGTATGAAACCTATTGCCAATGCTTTTAAAGGGTCAAGAGAAAACAATATTTATGAAATTCATCCCGTGCAACGCACGGGTGAAAATCTAGTGTCTATGAAAGTCCATTGCACAAATTAAGTATTTAATTATATTGATTGAATTGCAAATTATTACTCCCTCCGTCCCGCTATTAACTTCTTACTTTCCTTTGTGGGCCGTCCCAAAATAATCTTCTCATTTCCCTAAATGGAAAGTTATCCTACATCAAAACAGTGTCAAACAGTGCAAAACAGTGCCAAACAGTGTCTAAACAGTGCCAAACAGTGTCTAAACAGTAAAGTCAAATTTATTTCCTAAATATGTGTGTAGGTCAAAGTAGGAACTTAATAGAGGGACAGAGGGAGTATAATAATATTTAATGGATATCGCTTTTCAAACTATAGAATCAAAATCCTTATACATACTACCGCACTACGACCAAAGACAATTCTTTTACGGAAAAAATAAAAACATTAACTACCCTTCTTGGTCCCTTAAAAAATACTCCCTCTATCCCACTAACAATGGGACAAGAGGGAACGACACGCAAATCTATAAAAAGTGATTTATATGATTGATATTGAATTGATAAAGTAAAAATAATGTAAAAATGATTTAAAGTCACACAAACTTTACCAAATAAGAACATCTACACAATGCTACAATGTGCACGGTGCACATGTGCCATGAGAGAGATAGACACAAAATACTGATTTTAAGACATTTTTCTCTCTTTCTTTCCACGGTCTTATGTGGGGAAAAACTTACCAAAATAATATAAGATCCTTCGAATAAGGAGAGCGATGTTTTATTTATTGTTTTCTGATTGGCTATCTCGCATACCACGTATGCACCGATAACGTATTAACATTGGATATGCTCTAAGGTATGAGACAATCTTAGTGGGACGGAGGTAATAACATTTATGACCAAATTGGGATGTGGCAAGTTCTGTGCAATGAGAATAAATTCAAATATGAGAGTAAGAGCTTTGATTTGAATTGGAAGAATCGAAGGGCAACCAACTAACACAAACTAAATTCAATAACTTAGTTAAAATAAACTCCTCTTCGTACCACAAGATCGACCCACAATTTAACCCTATAATAAAAAAACTAAGATTTGATTTCTTATTAGAACCCCGCCTTTCCCAGGCCATGTACGATTTCGGTCTTTGTTGAAAAAGTTTACTTTTTAAGCTGTGTATGACATATATTTACCATTTAAGAATTCGTGTCAGTGTAAAATATACTCCGATCCGTACATTTGATATTCTAATGACTCTCGACGATTTCTTTTGAATTGTTTTCAGTTCCAGATCAATTCAGATCAAACCAAACTTAATCAGGCAGACCAGACAAGAAAATTTCAGTCCAAAAGAAAACGTGCTAAACACCATTTAGATTCACATTATACAATAAAATTGAAGAAGCAACACAGCTTTTAGGAAAAAGTTCAATTTAGGAAGAATTGAATAGTGAATCAAGTTTTATATACACTTAATGTTCCGTATAATTGTACATCTCACTTTTGTAGTTTTTGGCTTGCAAAGTTGCACCGAAATAGATTGCTATTTTGAAATTAATTAACTAGTGTTTTACCCGGGCGTTGCCCCGGGCGGATTTAGAGATAGTTTGAATACTTTGTAACATATATATTTTTACAACATATATATAGATTATCATTTTACTTTAAATAGGTGTATGTTCGTTGTGGGTAACAAATTAATTAAAAGGAACATACAAATTAATTTGTCATGAGGACCTTTAAACGGGATGATTATTTACACAATACTTAAATAAGTCAATTCGAGTATATTTTTAATTTAGAATTGTTTATATATATATATATATATATATATATATATATATATAGGTTTTGGTTCAAATAAGAACACGATCTTATGAGAGAAATGAGAACGAATCTAGACCGTTAGATTTGCTTCAAGTGAAATTCAGTGTGCATTAGATGAAACTGTAATGTGCATTAGGTGAAATTGAAATGTGCATCACAAAGGATACGATAGAGTGACATTATGTGCAGTTGAATTATGCACTACGTGAGATTGAAATGTGCACTAGGTGAAGCTGAAATGTGCAGAATAAAAAGTACGATGTGATGTTATTTTTGTACTTTTTTTCGCACATATCAGTTTCATCTAATGCACACTTGAGTTTAAATTTTTATGTTGCACATTTCAATATCATTTAATGCACATTTCAGTTTCACCAAATGCACAATTTGGTTCCACATAATACAATCCAACGGTCCAGATTCATTTTCATTTTTCTCCTAAGATCTGTTCTTACCGGAACCGCTCCCTATATAGGTATATATGTGTGTGTGTGTGTGTGTATATATATATATATATATATATATACATATATATATATATATATATATATATATATGTATATATATATATTAATACTTCTTCCGTCCCACTAAAATGAGCTCATCCTTCCTTTTCAGTCTGTCCCACTAAGAATTTCTCATGCTAAATTTGGTAAGGATTGATGATTTTAAATCATTCTTACTTTATTCTTATTTTATCAATTCAATATAATATCAACCACATAAACTAACTCACTTTTCTTAATAATTACACCACCCTTGTCACATTGTTAAGTAGGACGGAGGTAGTATAGTGAGATTAGTAGTGATAACTTTGATGTTATAAATGTGTTACTTTTAATATTTAATGAGTAAATTATCATTTAAGAGTGTCAATTGTTTTCTAAAATATAAATGAGAACCTTTATATGAGACATCCCAAAAACAAAAGTGAGAACCTGTCTATGGGACGAAAGGGTAGTGACATTGTAATGGAAAACACCGCAAACACCATATATCACATTGTTAGGTTTTGGAAAACCTCCTTATAAACCAAATTCACCTCCTCGGTGAAGAAATTTATTTCTTTTGAATATATAAATATATTAAGATGCCTTTCTTCATTACTTTTTGTATTGCAATGTAAAATTGGTCATCATTGACACTTATCTCTCAAGGTATGAATCAAATTTTATGAAGGATTTATTTCACAATCCAAACATATTGCTTGAAAAAAAATCCAAAAAACAGAATTCAGAAATAACACAATTTATGTATTTTGTGTATTGCTAATGCATGCACATTCAATAGAAAGTAGCAATTCTATAATATTATGGAGGATAAAACAGTAAGAAATAATAATTTTATATTTAATTTGAGAATCTCACTATTTGTATGTACTCACAATTAACTTATTATATTACTCAGTATATATTTGCTAAATACTACTCCGTATTTCAATGGTTATTTAACTCAATAATCTATATCTGAAATGAATATGGAGAATTAAAAAATGGGAATTAATTCAATTTATTTATTTTTCTTATCCTAAATTCATGCACATTTAGAGTAAAATACTATCCCCACAGTTTTATGCAGAATATAAAATATAGGTATATATGGTTTATATTTATTTAGGAGAATCACACAATGTGTATGTAGTCACAATTTACTTATTACATCATACTTTATCGGTATTATTTCAATTTTTAATTTGAAAATCATAATTCATTTTTTTAAATTATTCTCCTTTTTTAAGCTATATTTAAAAAACCAACCTGGAACGGCCGGGTCGACCCGAAACCCGGTGACCCAAACAAAAACCCGGTTCGCTTAGTGTTTTTTGGAAGAACTCGGTTCACTTAGTTTAAAACTCGGAATAGGTCAAAACCGGAAAAAATATAGTATTGATCTATAAATGGATTTGAATATGAAATATATAAAACATTCCAAAATATGTGTATATTCTTATGATAGAATATACAAAGTATTTCAAAATACCAAATGAAAATTTTCTAATTATATGTGGTTTTCTGGAACCATCTCGATAAAGCGTTCAAAAACATGAAATGAAATTCAATACTCCGTATTACAAAATATTTCAAATATATGTATTCTCTCTAAATGGAACAACACTTGTAGAATTTAGAAATCGATGCTCTACAATATATATATATATATATATATATATATATATATATATATATAAATAAACTTAATTGCAATTAATAACTATTCAATAATATAATTGCACTCATGATGTTTTTTTATTTGAACTATAATTTGCTAGTCTGGTCTAATCTGTTTATGTCTGGTCCAGTCCGGTATAGTCTGAACTGGTCTAGTTTGGTCGGGTAAACATCCGGTCTCTGTGTATTTAATAACTACGAAAGTTAAGTCTCGTCTGATCAGATTTGGGACTGCAAAAAGTCCAAGTAAAAACATCCCCAATAGCAACTAATTTAGAAATCATTTCAATTAATAGGTTTTACTTTATTATTAAATAATAAGTAGATATATGCATGGTCCGTGTATTATTTAATTGTATTTGAAGTAAAGTACTCAGTATTTAATTGCTTTCCTTTCTTACGTAGGTGTTTTAATTATCTCATTAATTTAATGGGTAAAAATTGCAAAATACATGGAATGGAATGAAAATACGTGAATTAAGAATCTATAAGATGTACTCAATAGTAATAATAAACTTTTGTAATTACACCCTCCAAATCAATTGTACTCAATAGCAATATTAAATTGTACTTAATAGCAAATAATTGACAAATCAATTTCAATTTGAAGGTTCTACTTTATTAGTAAGGAAGTAGATTCCTCCCCCTCATTATATGTTTTTTAAGACTAAAACTCCTTTTAGCCAAAAAAAAACTAAAACTCCTTAGGAATAATATAATGACGTGGCCTTACATTTATCATATACTTCGTAAGTATATACCCCCACCGTCCTTTTTAATTAGGCATCTTTGATTTTTCAAGTCAATGAATCCAAAATTCGACTGATAATATGAAAACACTACTTCATATGAAAATGTTTTTGTAAAAATACTATCATAAAGATATACGGAGTACTACGTATTCTGTAAAATTTATAAATTTCACATAAATACATATTAATTAAAATGATTGACCAAAACTTATCATCATTGATTGGAAAAATTAAAAAAAAAACTTATCATCATTGATTGGGAAAATAAAAAATGGCTAGCTGGATAGAGGTACGGAGGTAGTACATGTGATAACAAAGGACACAAAATCACGAAGAACACATTATAATACAAAAACAGAAATCAATTAATCAACAAAAAAGTGAAGTTATCTTGGATTATCATATTAACACCTCCTAATCAATTAACACCTCCATTATATATAAAGTCAACATTGTACACCACCTCCTAAGTAGTTGGTGTACATGATGTTTTTCATTTAGGATTATTTTGTCCACTTCTAAAAGCGATGATCATCATGCTTTTGTAAAACTTTCATTGGACCATCTAAGTAAAGACATCACATTATATTACACAATCAAATTCGTACATTGTCATGTTGAGTTTATTCTTACACCAAATATTAATATTTGATACTCTGTATTATTTTACTTTAATTTTATTATTTTCATGCATGCACTCTACGTACATTTTCACTTTTCATATATACTTGCATTTTTATATTATACTTACATTTTTATATGTTTTTCTAGGGAACAACGATTCCATCCAATATTCCAAATTTTGAAGCTTTGTAAAATGAATAACTCAAATTTGCATATGCAATATTAATATTATATTTTTATAATACTAATTATTAGTTTCATCTACTCTAGTGTGTGTATATGTGTGTGTGTATATATATATATACACACACACATATATATACACACACACATATAAATATATATATATATATATATATATATATATATATAGGGTGCGGTTCCAGTGAGAACGATGCTTAACGTGAGAACGTGAGAACACTCACAATTAACCCAGCGTGATACACAATTGAGCCCGTCAGGTGCACATTTGGGTTTAGCTCAAAATAAGCCTATATAAATAATGACGGTGGCATTTTAGTAAATACTGTGCCGAACGCGAAAATGTGCATTGGGCGAGCCTCATTGTGCATCACATTTGGGTAAATGTGGTGTTCTCACGTTCTCACGTTAAGGGTTGTTCTCATTTGATCCTAAATCTATATATATATATATATATATATATATATATATATATATATATATATATATATATATATATATATATATATATAATCAGTCAAAATTTAACATTATTAACCTAAAAAGTCAAATTAAATACGGAGTATATAAAAAGGAGGAATAGACTAGATGAATAGAGACTAGAGGGTATAAGAAATCAAAAAAATCCATAATACATAGGTGGTGTTTGGTAAATGGAGTTTCAGCCAAAAAATGGCGGTTTGACCACTTTTGGCGTTTTCGATGAGTGAAAACGTTGTTTGGTAAATAGCGGTTCGGCACTAGCATTTTTGGACGGAACCACTGAAATGAAAACGCTGCAAATAAGAGAGTTTTGGGTTAGCGTTTTGAAAAATGGCGTTTTATATTAATTTTATGGCCAAACAGCTAAATTAGCAGACATTTTCTGAAAAACTCGCTGATTAAATCCGCTATTTAAAACCCGTTGATTGAATCCACTAGTTACAACCCACTGATTGAATCCGCTATCTGGTAACCGTTAGATGACAAAAACGCCCATAAGCAATCATGGTAGATTCTATGGTACTCATAAGGTACCATACCTTTGTCCAAATAAACCAATGAGAATGTAGTTGTTGAATTATTTAAATCTAAATTAAAAATGATAAAGTAGTGTGATCCAATCAAATGAATAATATGTACGATACCCATATTTTAGAAAGGTACCGGAGTTGTCACTATAGTGAGGAGAGACTTCGCGTCTTTGCAATTAACGTAATCCTACACGTCACTCTCACTCATCCTTGATTTGCTATATTTAGTTGAACCAAAACCTTTCCTAAACATTTTCCAGAATATATCATTAACCTTATTATATTCGGATATTACTGTTTCCCATCCCAGAACACTGATCGAGAAACAGAGAAAGTTATGGCCAAGTTACCAGCTTCTTGGCCCATTTTTACTCCAATTGTGCCGGTTATCGCCGCCGTGTTCTTCTACCGGTTCGAGAGCTTCGACCCGGTTCCGTATCCGGATCACGAGCTGGTCGACGGTGAACCCCTGTTTGTTCCGAAGCGGAACAGCCAATTGCTCCGCGGCTCAGAGAAGATCGGGGAGGGTCTGTTGGCGGCGCCGGAGGACGTCGCATATGACCCGAAGACAGGGCAGTTGTATACGGGCGGCGTTGATGGGTGGGTCAGCCGTGTCTGGGTAAATGGCTCTGCGGCGGAGATGGTTGTGGAGAAATGGGTCAACACCGGCGGGAGACCGTTAGGAATTGCTCACGGTGTCAACGGCGAAGTCATCGTTGCAGACGCTTACAAGGTAGCTTACTGCTTTACTAATTACTGTTGGAAATAAGGGAATGGAAGATTTGGGAAATTGAGAGGCTAAATTAAAATATTATGGAAAGAAATATTTGAACAAAGGGGAATAATTCTTTTTATTGAAACCAATCTTTTAAATAGCCGTAGCGGCAGCGGTCGCGGTCATCGCGGTAGCCGGGGTAGCGGCCTGTAGCCGACTGTAACGGTTGCAGCGGCGTGAATTATTTTCAAATGCGCAAATCATATATTTAATGAGTGTTACAGTTAATAGAAATATTATGAATATTGGTTTGAACACTTATAACATTAAACAGTATATTAAACCCTTATAAATATTATAAATTTACTTAAATTAACCATAAACCAATAAAAGTAAGATTAGTGTCCTTATTAAACAGTATATTAAAAAAACAAATACAACAGTTTATGTTAAGTCCACTTCCAAATTAATAATAGATGATGACTTCGGTACTCATTTAAAAAATGGGGTACCGTAGCTACCATGCATTTTATTGGTTCAATCATTATATCCTTTTTAATTTAGATTTAAATAATTCGACTGTATCATTATGATTGGTCCATGTGGAAAAAGATATGATATCATAAGAGTACCATAGAATCTACCTAATAATAATACATATTTGCGTTTCATTTCCAATTTCATTTGCATAATCCATAATAATATCATTTCCGTTCTATCATTTCCGTTCCAAATTGTTTTGTTAAGTCAAATTTTTTTTGCGTCAACCAATATAAATCATCCTTATTAATAATTAGTTCGGATTTAATAATTGTAATTCATGTATTTATTAATATTTGCTACCATGATGTATGTGGATAGATGTACATTTAATTTTGAGTTTCATTAATGTGTTTTTTCACATCATTCACACAACATTTACACATTTACACATGAAACAGTTCGTGATGTACTGCCGGAAATGTCGATAGCGGCCGGTAGCGGGCTGTAGCGGGTTGTAGCGGGCTGTAGCGGGCTAAACTTAAATCAATATCCCCTTTAATCTTTTTTTTGTATAACTTTTTTTTTATCAAATTTGAATTCTTTTCTTGAAATTTGATAAAGTTTTTATCAAAACTCTTTAAAAAAATTTACATAATTTCTGAATATATTTTATTTACTAAAAAAAAATTAAGTATTGATAAGGATCAGATAACTTTGTCATTAGTCAAACATCGTAAATAAAAATGTGAACTCTTATGAAATGGAGAGAGCATTTTTCTCGCCTTCTAGGATATATTATTATGTACTGTAGTAGTACTTGCATTCCCCTAACATTGTTATGGGGTTCCCCTAGCGTTGATATGGAAGGAGGTGATGCTTGTTAACAAAAGTAGGTTGATTGATATTGGATTAATAAAGTAAAAATGAAATAAGAATAATTTAGAATCACATCAAAATTACCAAATTTGGTACGACATAATATCAGAAACAATCTAAGCCAGAGATAGATAGTGCGTAGTATTATATTGCTTTTCATTGGTCAAAAGATATCCAAAAGATATAGCTAGGACTATTGGGAGCAAATCATTGACTTTTTTCTATATCCAAAAGATATGGACGATGAAGTGATTTAATAAAACATTTAATCTAGTTTCTAAATACACAATTTTTTTACTAGAATTCACTTAAAGTTTATCAGTGAATGGAAAGAATTAACTTTTCAATAATCAACTTCCTAAGCACGTTTTTTTTTTGCAAATCAATTGAGGGCGTGGAAGTATAGTTACTTTTGTTTTGAGATACAAAGGAGACTCATATATTCACAAAAAAAAAGATAAATATGTTCTTTCAAATTAAAGACTTCTGTTTTATGAAAAAACGTTAATGGCAACATGTTTTAGAAAATATGTTTGTTTTATTTGTCTTAAGAAAGAATAATTTGTTGGAAAAATGTGTGAAAAAATGCATTAAATGGTAATTTTGGGGCAATTTTTTGAGTGGGGTTCACTTCCGATTTGGGTCGGGTCAAAGTGGTTTCGGATTAAGAGCTACAATTCGATATATGGTACGCTCAAAACGGATAACGGGTGAATGAGAAATTGACCCGTTCATATAGGAGGTTCTGTCCGGCCGTCGCAATTTGGGGCAGTTCCCGGTGGAATTTTTTGATGAAATTTTTTGAGCATCTTATTCACCATGTCTAGTTTACTCATATCAAACTTCAACTATAAATTCAATCGGAAACACATTCAAATTAATTCTTGAAGATAATTGCGCATTTTTGCGTTCTCGAATAAATTTGAATGCGCTCCCGATTAAATTTTTAACTGAAATTTGGTATGAGTAAACTAGACTTGATGAATAAGATGATCAAAAAAATTCCACCGGGAACCGGCCCAAATCGCGATGACCGGACAGAGTCTCTTATAGAAGGACTTAATTGACTTTTTATAAAAGTTCGAGGACCTATTTGACAGTTTTCCCAATATTTTTTGTTCAAAATTCAATCGATTTATCAATTTAATTATGATTAGTATTTTATACGTAGTAATTAATTTTATGATTTTAGTATAGTGCTAATTTTCTATATTTCATTTGGCATATACTCTGTAATTTGTTATATTAAATCAAGATAATTTACCAATATCGTATCTTTACCGTACCGAAATTTCGGTATACCGAAGAAAGGATAACATTGAATAAAATTTTGAAATTTTATTGAAATAAAATATTAAAATTTCGGTATACATGTTTGCATACCGAAAATTTATGGTCCGGTAAAGGTATGAGATAAAATATCTCGTATACCGTACCAAACCACCCCTACTCGCTCTATACATTCCACATTCAGTCCATCTCTTTTACTGTATACGGAGTACAAAATATCAATTTCAATGGAAAACCATAGGTAAATATTGATAAAATAATACTACCTTCGTAACTTAAAAATCTTCCCATTTAAAAAGTAGGTAGATTAAGAATAGTGAAAGAGGATATGAATTATTGAGGGTATGCTGGGAAGATAGAGGAATAATGTGATGGAATATAGGACAAATCCAAAAAAGTAGTTGTAATAGTGTATTATTTTTAAAATTATTAAGGGTATGATGGAAAGATTTAGAAATGAGGAGATTTTTTTGTTACGAACGAAAAGGGAAAGTGGGAAGATTTTTATGTTAGGGAGGGAGTACTCCTAATGTATGTATACAGAAACATTCGCAAGAAATAAGCATAGATACGGATGTACCATCATAAGAGCACGTTTGATTACAAAAAGAAGTAAATTAATTAATTACGGAGTATATGCAGGCAATGCAGATGTATGTCGCAGAAGGGGCCAACCCCAACTACCCAATCAAGTTGCATACAAAAGCTTTTAATGAATTAAGTTGGGATACCCATATACTCCCTCCGTCCCTAATAACTTTGCCAAGTTTGACTGGCACGGGGAATAATAAAGTAAAAACTGTGTGGTTGAGGTTTGTGCAGAGGAGAGAGAATTAACTGGAACTACAAATTCTTTACTTAAATGGGAAAGTGGCAAAGTTAATGGGACATCCAAAAAAGGAAAGTTGGCAAAGTTATAAGGGACGGAGGTAGTATGTAGCTTAGCGCCTCCACTAGAAAGGGATACGTATATGGTACATCCGGCTGTACGGCGACTCGGCGAGAACTGTACAGCCGATCCAGAAACAGGCCCAAGGTAAAAATAGTAAAATAATTCGTTAGTATTTTTGTAATTAATGCGAAAATTGTGGTTTCTGCTCAATGAGCATTAGTGTACTTTTAATGAGCAATAACCCAATTTTAATAAGTATTAAGCATCTAATAATGAGCACAGTGTTATTACAAGAAATCTGATAGCACACCAAAAAAACGGTGACATTTTCGTAATTTCATTGAAAATTTTGGTTTTCATTAGATGAGCATTAACACATTTTTAATGAGTATCAAACGTATTCTACTGAGCATTAAGAGTCGAATAATGAGTATTGTGATATCAACTTCATATATTATAATTCACTTTCTTTTTCTTATTTTTTCTTTTATAAAAACTCATTAAATTATATTTATTACCAATTCCTAGGAATTTCAATATGTGAATCTAATATAATATGATACTTTTGGAAGATGCATTGGTATGACATTTTAAAAATGAGCATAATAGAAGTAACAATTGAGCACACGTAACTTACACAATGAGCATTAATATGAAAGTCATATGTTTTTTAGTTGAGCATTAAGACATTTTTATTGAGCATCAAACATCCTCTATATAATTGAGTATCGTGGTTTGTGCTCCCGTATCTATAATCAACTTCTACGTAAACTTAATGTAATATAGTGCTTTTGGAATATGCATTGACATAACATTTTAAAATGAGCATAACACCAGTACCAAATTAGCATACATAATTTATCATATGAGAAACAATATCAAAATTATAAGCTTGGTTAGTTGAGCATCAAGACATTTTCAATGAACATCAAATCTCATCAATTGATTACCAGAAACATGCAATAGAGTATCATGACCTTTGCTCTCGTGTATATAATTTAACTCTTATGCGAATCTAATATTATAGTTTTGAGATGAGCATAAACCAGTACAAGATGAACACACGTAACTTACAAAATGAGCATCGAAAAATTTAAAAACTCGTTTGAATTCTCTAATATGTTCAAATGTTCATTTGTGCATATTTATTTATACTCATTTTAGTATAACACAAAACTCATGTTAGTAATTAATACACAATATTTAGTAACTAATAAATATTTATCTTAAAATCATAAATAGAAAAATAAAATAGTAATACCAAAAATATTTTATAACGCAAAAATTAAAAAATCTCAAGTTTAAATGTTGATTGAAAAAAGAAAAAAAATCGAATAATGTATTACTCCCTCTGTCCCGTTGGGATGTTCCTACTTTCCTTTTTTAGATGTCCTGAAAAGAAGTTCCTATTTCCCTAAATGGAAAGTTTTCCTACATCAAAACAGTGTCAAACAGTGCAAAACAAAAGTTCAAATATAGAAGATTTGATGCTCAATGAAAATGTCAGATTAAAAGCGTGCAATTGAGTACCTATTGCGCATTCGTAAATTATAAAATGAGCATTGGTAGGAAAATCATAAGTTTTTTTAGTTTAGCGAGTATCAAGAAGTTTTCATTGAGTATCAAATCTCATCTATTGAGTATTAAAAACATGTAATTGAATATCATTGTCTGTGCTCTTATATCTGTAATTAAATCCTACTTGAATCTAATGTAATATGTTACTTTTGAAATATGCATTGATATAACATTTTAATATGAGCATCACATCAGTACCAAATGAGCATACATACAATGCAGAAATTAAAAAAAAAAACTAAATTAGAAGGTTGATTGGAAAAAGAAGAAAAAACAATTGCAAACTCAAACATTAACCATATTTTAGATTATAAATTTGCATAATAATCGAATAAAAAAATTAAAGAACGTTAAAGAAAACAAATAAGGAAAAGAAAGAACTAAAAATAGTAAACAATAAAAGAAATGAAACTGAAAATCAACGAAAAGTGAAAAGCAAGAAACTGAGAGGACTGAAAAGCGACGAAAGAAAAGGAAAAAAAAAACAAGAAAGTGGAGTAAGGCCGCAGCAACCAGAAAACGGAAAACGGATGGAAATTAACGAAGAGTGGCGGCGGAAAAAGAAAAGCACCAGCGGCCATTAGCTTAACCTTTACCCCATAAGTTGGATTTAATTACAAAAAATCCGGTTGTACCATGCTCTGGGTAAAGCCGGCTGTACCGTATATATTGCCCACTAGAAGGGGCCAACTTATTTGTAGTACGAAGTATAAATAATTAAATTTTAATGCTCCCTCTAACGTTTACCTTAAGCATTAATTTGGTTGTCAATGTGTGGGTATAAGGTGAGTATAAGAGTGAGTACATCAAGCATTCACAACCAAAATGCTTAAGGCAAACGGTCAGAGGGAGCAGTAAAATTTATTTATACTCCGTACTATAAATAAATTGGCCCCTTCTAGCTGAGGCGCTAAGCTACCTTATGTGTTATTTTCAAAATATTGTCTGTAAACAGAATTCACAAACAAAAAAACCTTCACAAACATGGGTGGTTATAAAAGTGGGTATAAGAGTGAGTACAAACATCAGTTATATATTTTAGACGTCCCAACTAAAGTTATCTATTTATATTTTAGAAAATAATTAATAGTCTTAAATGATATATTGTTGTCAAATAGTATTAGAAATATAACACCAATAACATAATGTGAGTTTATCATCAATTGTCTCATTATATTTTTATACACATCAAAACTACCGAGTATTTATCAAAATATACACGAATTATCTTATTCAATTATTGTTAAGGGAAAACTGCCAATTTGCTCCTTGTACTATCATGAAAATCTCAATTAAGTCCTCATACTTTAAGAAAAATCAATCAAATCCACAAACTTTGAAAAAAGTTCAATTGAGCTAGTTAGCAAAGTTGATGATGTGGCTCACACGTGGCAGTCCACACGTGCACCACATCAGCAAAGTCAATGCTGATTGGACTGCCATATGTGTGCCACGCCAGCATGTGATTTGCTGACGTGGCGGATAAACTGCTAATGGACTCAATTGAACGTTATTATAAAAGGGATTTGATCGATATTTTTAAAAGTACAAGCTAAGGACTTAGTTCTCGATTTCTTGATAGTACAAGGATCAAATTGACAATTTACTTTTAAATAATTATATCATTTTTAAATAAAAGTTTAAGCCGGGACCCAGGTAATGCATGCACATATTTTGTGCCTTGGCTTGAAAGGGCCATGGACGTACGTAGCTAGAAGCCTAGAAGGGGCAATGCCAACGACCCTGCAGGCCAATTTACTTTTCTTAGCAAATTGCAAATATGAATTCTGGGTCCTTCACATTATTTGTTAGCGACCCATACTTTTGTGTTACTTAATTACTAGGAATTGAAGTAAGTAATTTGTGACAGGGACTGCTTAACATAAGCAGAGATGGAGGGATAAATTTACTGACAGATGAAGCTGAAGGGGTGAAATTTAAGCTGGCAGATGGTGTTGATATTGGTGGCGATGGCATAGTCTACTTCACCGACGCTTCACACAAGCACTCCTACAAGGATCACGCTCTCGACCTCTTAGAAGGTCGCCCCAACGGCAGATTCCTGAGCTATGATCCTACCACCAAACTCACAAAAGTGCTGCTCAAAGATCTGTACTTCCCAAATGGAGTTGCTGTTTCTCCTGACCAGACCTTTGTTGTGTTCTGTGAAACGCCAATGTTAGTTTTTCTCATTTAATTGAGCAATAGTGTTTAATAATTTGGTGCACGTGTCACTTTTCTGTCCCAATTTGATACACCATACATAATTTTCAAAAAATCACACTTTTCGATCTGTTCAAACTTTCATCTATAGCATACATACTTTTCATCTATAACTTTAGACTCCCTCTAGTCCCAGAAAATTCTGACCAGTTTGACTTGGATCGGAGTTTAAGAAAGTGGGAATAAAGTGGAAATGTATGGTTGTAGTTCAGTAAGAAAAAGGTAAATGAATGATAGCCACACAAACCTTTCTAAAAAGGGAAATGCGAAGAATTTTTTGGGACAACCCAAAAAGGAAAGTGAGAAGAATTTTTTGAGATGGAGATAGTACTAAGTAAAATCATTGTCCAAAGTTTGCCAACACCAACATAAAAAGTCAATATGACAAACCTTTAGGGGCGGTAGTACTTTTCACATGTTATTTACATTATTTTGTAATATTTTGTATAATCATTCACATAAATAATAATTGGTACTACCTATGTCCCTTAAATTTTTTCCATCTTTTGGTTAACCTCAAAATTTTATCAATTAATTTATGCTTCATATATTTTCTCTTTCTTTGGTACATAAAAACTTCAATCATACAATTTTTACTTTTTATTTCTCATGTCAGTCAAACTCAACAAAGTTTTAGGAGACATAAAGACCATATAAAGGCTTAGGGGTAAAAAGGGAAAAATAGGCTTAGAGTTGTTTACTTTTTTTCTATTAAGTCCTCCTATCTGGATTAAGACTTTGATTTATCTGGGTTAAGATTTATGTCTGAATTAAGTATTAATTGTATATGAGGTGTTTATTTTGTGTGTTGACTATGATTTTCCAATTTAATGATTTAGTTAAATTAAGTCATAAGTAAACATGACTTAATGGTTGAACAATTAAGTTGTTATTCTCATTATGTCTATTAATAAGTTGAAAGTAAACCACCCCTCAGTGTCAATAGGTAATATTACACTTAATTGTATAGTATCCTACTTACATATTTGACTTGCGCATTTTACATGTTTTATAAAGTCGATCATTTACACCAAACATTATATATAACTTCTTTATCTATCAATAAATAATACGGAGTATAACATTTACATGTTAAGCACATGTTCTTAAAACATTTATAATATCGTTTGTAATGTAATTTGTCGTTAGATGACAGAAGAAATCTAATGAATAGTTTAACTAACTCGTAGCTGTTAGTTAAACTTGAAATGCCAAATACCATGAAATGTATTTGGCGGAAGTATTATACGGAGTATTACAATAAAACTAATTATTATATATCATCATCATTATAGATTATTTTGAATTGAAAATATTTCAATTACTCCAATATTCATGTAACTCTTATTTATTAATGGGTATGAAGCATTAAATGTCTAATTAGAGGGAAAAGCAAGGTGTCACACCTTGTTACTTTATAGATAGATAGATAGATAGATATTCCAATTACTCCAATATTCATGTAATTCTTATTTTTTAATGGGTATGAAGCATTAAATGTCTAATTGGAAGGAAAAGCAAGGTGTCACACCTTGTTACTTTATATTATTATAGATACAGGAGTATTTTATAACGTCACGACGTTATGCTAAGCACTCTCTGTTCACGTAGGTATACAAAACTTTCTCATATCTACATCGTTCCTGATTCATGATTGTACCTCCCTCAGGGGCGGACCCAGGAAGTTTGTCTTGGGAGGGCGGTAACTTAAACAAAATGTTTTTTGGAAGGGCGAAAATTATTTTTTATAATATATATACACTAAAAGTTTTTGTTGTTGGGGGGGCGACTGCCCTCCTGGGTCTGTACTACGGTCCGCCCCTGACCTCCCTTGCATACTGCATGGCAACCCCATGGCATAACAAAAACATAAGCTGTTTAAATAGTGCTTAAAAAGATCCTAACACTTAAATTGGATGAATCTGCTGATTTTAGTGAAATCTTGGTGTTTCAGTTGAATAATTAAAGTTGACTCGGGTAATTCATAATCCGTAGTTTAAAAATTGACGAGTCCAACAATGTACTGTTGCAGGAGGAGGTGCAGAAGGTATTACATACAAGGTCCAAAAAAGGGAAGTGTTGATATGTTCGTTGTGAATTTGCCTGGATTGCCCGACAACATAAAATATGATGGGGAAAGCCTATTCTGGATTGGCTTAAGCACGGTGCGTAATCACTTTCATTTGTACTGTCTACTATTTCGAACCTTAATTGTGTTGTTTAGCTTGATTGGTGATGTGTAGATAGTACCCGACCTAAAATATACATTTGCTCATGGGCGGAGCTAGGGGAGGGTCTGGCCCTGACTCAGCCTAAATTTTAAAAATGTCTGTATTTTTAGTGTAATAAATTCCGTATAAGAAAATTTCAAAAAATATTCTTTGTACCGGTCCAGTCCGACCTAGTGCTCTAACTCCGCCCCTGCATTTGCTTGTGTTATTAATTCACCATTTCCCTTATATAAGTATCTTGTATACTCCAGGAGGCAGATATGTTTGAGTGGTTAAAAAGGTACCCTTCAATAAGAAAAATTGTGGGTATGATGGAGAAGTACACGGGACGACCAGTTGTAGAGAAAAACGGAGGGACAATAGCGATAGATTTGGAGGGGAAGGCAGTTGCATACTATTACGACAAACACATCTCGCTCATTACAAGCAGTGTTAAAATTGGAGAGCATTTGTACTGTGGTTCATTAAATCGTTCTCATATCCTTCGTCTCAAACTCACTCACTTTCCCGCAACCCCTCCTACTCTATGATCTCATTAATGCCCATGAAAGTCATCATCCCACGTTTCGTATTTTATCAATACATTTTATGAAGTCTAATTTGCTCTATTTAAAGTGTCATTTTGTGAAACAACTTCAAGTGATAATATCATACTACAAAAGGCATACCTTGGGTTTTTACTTCAACTGATAATACCATAGTCCCATACTACAATTTTCTTTATACTCATTTTATGTTTTCAACTCCCCATAAAAGGCATAAACTGTGAAATAATGGGAAAAAGGTTACTCCAATAGGAGTCCTGGCAGATTAATATATAATGAGAGAGTTCAAGGTACAAAAGGAAACAAATATTGCTAAATATATTTTAGGAAACAAATATTCCTAAAATATATTCTATTACACCCCCTCAAACTGTGCGGGAGAAACAACGCGCAGGTTGTCCTTTAAAAAATGAAACTGTTGACTAGAGAGACTTTTAGTAAAGATATCAGCCAACTGCAACTGTGTAGGAATGTACTTCACAACTAGATCGCCATGAGCCACACGCTCTCTGACAAAATGATAGTCTATCTGAATGTGCTTGCTGCGAGCATGCTGGACGGGATTAGCAGTCAAGTAGGATGCAGATATATTGTCACAAAATAACTTAACTGGAACCGAGACAGGAAACCCAAGCTCAAATAGTACAGAACGGATATGCAGAGTATCCTGAACAGTATATGCCACGGCTCTATATTCAGCTTCTGTAGAAGATTTGGAAACGGTAGGCTGCTTTTTGGATTTCCACGAAACAAGATTAGGGCCCAAAAACACTGCAAACCCAGTCGTGGAACGAGATGTATCGGGACAGCCTGCCCAATCTGCATCGGAATAAGCAATAACACACGTGGCCTGAGTAGTCGGCTGAAGCCATAATCCATGATCAAGGGTCCCCTGTAAATATCTAAAAATACGCTTGACTGCAAATAAGTGAGTAGTACTGGGAGCATGCATAAATTGAGACACTAAATGAACAGCATAGGTAATATCAGGTCGTGTCAAAGTTAAATATTGCAACGCACCAACCATACTACGATACTCAGTACCATCTGCAAGAAGTTCCCCATCAGTAAGGGAGAGAGACGTGCGAGTAGCAAGTGGAGTACGTACAGACTTAAGTGTGTGAAGATGGAAACGAGAGAGAAGATCAGACACATATTTATTTTGGGAAAGAAACAAACCTTTAGCAGTACGCACTGCCTGGACTCCTAAAAAATAGTGAAGATCACCCAGGTCTTTCATAGCAAAATGTGTAGCAACAAGCTGAATAAAAGAGGTGATAACAGCGGAAGAATTTCCAGTAATAATGATGTCGTCCACATATAGTAATAAATAAATGACATTATTATTCTGACGATAAATGAATAAAGAATTATCAGACTTGCTGCACGTAAAGTGATGAGAGAGAAGAAAACTACTGAAACGATGAAACCATGCCCGCGGGGCTTGCTTAAGACCATAAATGGCTTTTCGCAATCTGCATATATGATTAGGAAACAATGGATGAATAAAACCCCGCGGCTGACGCATATAAACTTCCTCGGTGAGGTGACCATGCAAAAAGGCATTTTTAACATCCAACTGTCTAATGACCCAACCAAAAGAAATAGCTAAAGTAAGAACAATACGAACAGTGGTGGGTTTTATGACAGGACTAAATGTTTCGGAGAAATCTACACCGGCCTGTTGATTAAAACCTTGAGCGACCAAACGAGCTTTGTGGCGCTCAATAGAACCATCAGAGTTATACTTAGTCTTATAGATCCACTTAGAGCCCACAACATTTTTAGAATTATCAAATGGCACTAAATCCCAAGTATTATTAGAAATAAGAGCATTAAATTCCTCAGCCATTGCCGCCCTCCATATTAAATGTTTATTAGCCTCTGAAAAGCAGGTAGGATCAGCTGATAAAGCAACTGTGTTTAAATTAAAAATTGTTTTTGGTTTAAAAATCCCCGACTTTGCCCTGGTTTGCATGGGATGATTATTCATAAACTGGTCGTGAGATAGAGGCGGAGAAGACATGGACGTAGCAGACCGAGGAGTATTAAGAGGGGCAGTTTCCATGGGCTCGGTTGGAGGAGAAAAGGAAGAAGTAGGAGGGCTGAGAATCTGTTCAGGGGAAGGAGTCTTAGGTGGTGGTGATGGACTGTTTTGAGGTGTTGAGGATGGTTCGAAGACTTCGTGTGGAGGATCTTCGGTAGTGGCTGGTGTAGGACTGCCCGTGGGAAGTGGAGGGAGAGGCAGGGTAGAAGTCGGTGAGTCTGGAAAGCTTGGGGCGGTATTGGTGAGTGTAAACTCAGGAGCAATAGGAAGAGATGGAGACGTGGGGTGATTTGTAGAAGAGGATAATGTGGCGTATGGAAAAATATTTTCATGAAAGCGAACATGCCTGCTAATAAAAACTTTTCCTGTCTTAGGCTCAAAACAACGATAACCTTTAAATCCAGATGCATAGCCAAGAAAAACACATTGAACAGAACGAGGAGAAAGTTTATTGGAAGATGATGCAGAAAAATTAGGATAACATGCACATCCAAAAACTCGTAAAGAATTATAGGCAGGGACTTTTTGAAAAAGTTTTTCATATGGTGAAACACCAAAAAGAGTAGGAGAGGGAAGTCTATTAATAATATATGCAGCTGTAAAAATAGCATCAACCCAAAAAGTGTTAGGAATGGAGGCCGTGATAAGAAGAGTCCTAGCAAGTTCCAAAAGGTGGCGATGTTTACGTTCAGCGACACCGTTTTGTTGAGGAGTATGAGGACAAGATTTTTGGAAATAGATTCCATGTTCAGCAAAAAATTGTTGCATATTAAAATTAACAAACTCACCCCCTCCATCACTTTGAAAAACTTTTATTTTAGCATTAAACAGATTTTCAACAAGAAGTTTAAAAAGACGAAACTGAGAAAACACTTCATTTTTTGTGCGCAAGGGATAAACCCATGTGAATCGAGAAAAATCATCAATAAAACAAACATAATACTTAAACCCTAAATTAGATAAAACAGGAGATTGCCATACATCAGAATGAATTAAATGCAAAGGTGCAGAAGAAGTATGACTAGCATCCGAAAAAGGTAATCGTTGAGATTTTCCCAAACGGCAAGAAACACAGTCATGTTCAAAATTTGAAGAACTAGTAATAAGTTTTCTAGTGCGTAAGAGACGCAAAACAGAATCACCACAATGTCCTAGTCTACAATGCCACACAGGGCCAGAAGAAGTGACGGAAGCTAAAGCTACGGAAGCAGGATGGCTGAGACTGATAGGATAGAGATGGCCATTATGGTGCGCCTGAAGAAGAACTGCCCCCGAAATTTTGTCCTTAACAAGAAAAGAATTTTTATCAAAAATTGCAACACAGTTGTTATCAGCACACAATTTTTGAATAGAAATTAAATTAAATTTAATTTGAGGCACATGAAAAAACAGATTTTAATGACAGTGGGCGACTAGGAGTATTTAATGTAATATTACCAATATTAGCAATGGGAAGCTTAGTACCATTAGCAACACTAATAGTCATGGAGCCAGAGTAAGAGGATTTATTAGACAAAATACCTTCAGACGATGTCATATGAGCCGAGGCACCGGAGTCCGGGTACCACAAAGCATCATTTGATTCACCACTTGGAGCTACCAACGCAGGTGCAGATGGCTGAGAGAAGCGAGATGGACAATGTAAGGCAGAATGACCTGCAGAAAAACAAATCTGACACACAACTGGTGGAGGAACTGAACCAAGAATACCCTCAGCTGATGGAAAACCTGCATGACGAAAGTGAGTACCAAAAGTAGATTTAGCATTAATATTTAAAGTGGACACAACAGATTTACCGGATGCCGCATTAGTCGGTCGGGAAGGAACAACACCCCCTGCTGCCGGAGGTACCAGGACAACGGAAGGGCCTTGCTGGTTCTGGCCGAAGCCCTGCGTGGGTTGATAGGCTTGCTGCCCATAGCCTTGAGGTGGCTGGTAGCGGCCTCTGCCGCGAGCACCTCCCCTGCCGCGACCTCCGCCTCTGCCGCGGCCTCCTCTGCCGCGGTATGCGGTTGGTTGACCTTGCTGCCCGGCATGAACTTGAGCCCCAAAAGCTGGCTGAATAGAGGCAGTTTGTTGTTGTTCATACAAAATCTGTTGTTCTGCTTCCATGAGGCGGGGATGAAGTATATCTGGCGGAAAGCTCTCAGGGAATAAAGATATGGTGCCTGTAATAAATTTATATTCCGGTCCCAATCCAGCAAGAGTGCTTTGAAGTAATTCTCTATCAGTCATAGGAGAATTAATCGTGGCTAACGCATCCGCCAAATTTTTAAGTTCACGCAAATAATTTTCCATGGATTGATTTGCCTTCTTTTTAGTATTAGTTAATAAACGTTTAAGTTCCATGGCTCTGGGTAAACTTGCAGACATAAAGCGAGACTGTAAACGCTCCCATATACGACACGAATGTTTAATATCATGCACATCAGTTAATACTTCGCGAGATAAAGTAGCAAACAACCAAGAACGAATTGTTTGATCTACTCGGAGCCAATGATAATAATCAGTATTAACGACCTGTTGATTATTAAAATTCAATGTGTATAAGGGAGGTACCGGAGTAGAGCCGTCTATCATACCAAAAAGTCCTTGAGACACAAGGAAGGATTCAAACTGAGTTCTCCATGTCAAGTAGTCTTCCACCGCTTTGAGTTTAATAGTCACAATCTGCCCGACATTAGCAATGCCATGAGACACGGATTGAGCCAGGGCAGCCATAGGAGATGCAAACAAAGAACTGTCCGGGCGTGCAATACCCGGTGAGCCGGCGAAGGTGCTGCCGTAAAAGCCGGCGTTGTGCAGCGGTGGGAGAGTGACCGTCGGGGAAGGAGATCCGACTGGCTGCTGCCATGGGAAGTGAGGCGGAAGGCTCTCAAACAAAGAGTAGGAGCCAAACACCGGTGCGGACGACATAGGGGGTCCCTGGATGGCCGGCGTTCCGGGCAGCGTTACCGGCAGCGACACTTCAGAAAAGATGGCGCCGGTCTGAGTAGTTACCGCGACGGAAGAAACTGCAGCGGCTGAAGAGTGAACATCCATAGCAGTAGTTTGCATGGTGGAGGAAGAAAAAGTCTGGGAGGAAGATGATGTAGCAGATGGCTGCGTTGCT